GTAAATATATTCATCTTCACGGCCGCCATCAGTGGTATAAATGAATTTGGTGTTCTGCAACTAGAAACATATTTTATGCCCAGACATCGAGTCACCCATAACAGCTAATTTTGCACACACAAAAAATTAAAAATAAAATAACTGTTTTAAACCAGTAAATCAATTAACTTAAAATCCAAAATAGTATTGATAATATATTAATACATGTTACTAATTTATTTATTAAAATTGATGTACAACAAAACAAAAAATTATACATTATTTGAATTTTTATTAAAAATTAATATATAACAATATTCCGAAATTATTTTAGGATTTAAATGTTTGTTAATTATGTTTATTACTGTATTATAGTGTTTATTATCCACCTTTATTAATGTAATATTCGGTAATATAGCCAATAATTGGCGCACTATATGCGCAAAATGGACAATTATTTTGCGCCGCAAGCTCAATACATAACCTAATCAATATTTTAAATAATACCGCACAGTGTTTATTACTTTATTTACCGACAATTAAAGCATTTTTACAAATAACTTATTTCTACAGTACTTTACATTAAATACAATTTCATTTTGTATATATGAAAAGGTCCCCGGTGACCGCCACGTGCGATTTGTTCAGCGCATTGAGTACATTGACAAATGTGAACCAGATCAATATAGTCAACCATCAAATACCACAAATACCGGACAATGCGTTCAACGATAATATGGGAGTATTGGAGAACCTAAAGACCATTGATTTGCACGGCACGGGCTCATTGGGCACCATAATCAGTGCTTTTTCAACACTTAAAAGTATGTACTAGGATATATATTTTAAATATACAGTACATTTTGTTCATATGAAATATAAAGCACTTGCCTTGGTTAGGTAAATTCAAAATAGTACAACTAAATAGTAATTGGGATGGGGGTAGGGTGGTTGATGGTTCATGAAACATATACTCCCATATACCTTGACAAAATATTATAAAAAAAATATAGTAAACCTAATTTAATTATAATAAAGCAAATAAGAAAAATCTTTTATACATTTTAACTATAATTATGCTACTTTAATAAATTATTATTTTAAAAATAATATCCAATCAGATTTGAACATGGTGAACTTATCTAACCAGAAGATTGTGGCCATCGGTGACTCGGCCTTCCAGTTCCCGCGAGCTAATTGGGATCACATAACCATTAACCTTGAGCATAATAGCCTAACCGGTAGTAGGTTCGGGTCGCACGTATTCCCCACGAATAAAGTGACCACGCTCATGTTGGCCGGCAATATGGACCTGACGTACTTAACTGAAGGTGTTTTCTACGACTTTTTTGAGGAGAGGGGTCACGACAGGAATACTTGCAATATGTCCGGCATTCCGATGGAGATTGACCGGCTCAATATGGGGCTCGTGGACAATAAAGTGACCATGAAGCTAGATCAAAAATTATTGGAGGCTATGGGGAAGGACGGGACGGCACTCCTAAAGCATACGCACAAACAGATGGATGTGCCGCCGCCCGCGGCCAATCACACGATAATATTACACAATTTTGAATGAATTTTGTATAATTTTAAAATTTATTATTTTTTGTTTTATGTATTGTAATAAACATTTAAATTATAATGTTTAAAAATAGTATCAAGCAATATTTGTTATGAATGTATTTTTAAAATAAAGCAAATGTGTATTTTATATGAATGATGTCACAATACAAAATACAATAATTAATATTAAATGAAAAATAAATTAAGAATTTTCAAAATTATTTAACAGTAAAATGATCTTTATAAATTAACCTTTATTTCTAAACTATAAGACAGGGATGACAAAAAATGACAGTGCTACTTTGATTTTAATTTATTTTAATATCATCTTGTTTATTTCACCCATTTATTCACTAAATTGTAGCCGATTAGTTAGAGTTTTGTTTGGTATATGATTTGTCCATGTCATTATTAACCAAAATTTTATACAAAAAGTATATTTTAAACATGCAATCGTGCATCATAAACATGCATCAAACATGCGTAATATTTTTATGAATTTATATCAATCAATAAATTGATAAATTAATAAATTAAAGATTATTTGGTGCAATGCATTAATAAATTTGATAAGTACCCGGAATAATTAAATAAATATTAGAGGTTCAGTTAATGTTTATACCTATATAAATATAGGTTATTTGTAATAAGTACAATTTTTGATAATTCATAAAAATATTATTCAAATTATATATAATAATTTAGATAAGTTTAAATTAAATATAATTCATATTTTACAGTGATTTGAAATGAGTTTAATAATATTAATATTTTAATGATTTTTATTTGTTAAACTTTTAAATAAAAAATAACAACCACTTAAAATTACGCTAAAATTAATATTCATTATTTATTGAGTTAGTTGTTATCATATGATAACTAGGCACTTTCACATTGAAATGCGTAAATGGTTATGATAGTAAGTACCAAGAATTGTTAAGTAATCATACGATATTTATTAGATGTTAATTATTTTAACTTGACCTTGCCTAAACTTACCTATATAATAATTTTCAATTACTATAATTATTATAAATTAATTGTTTTATTTAGTTGTAAATACTTATTACTAAAAATATGAAAACTAATATAGGTATTAAAATTAATCATTGATAACAAAATTACTTTTAAAACCTTTTACAATACAATAACAAATCTTACATAAAATATAAATTTATAATCAATTATAATTATAATGCTACAGTTATACTCCTATCGATCGTGACCCTGGTCAATGGGTGTCCAGAGTATTGCGAAGACATTAAAAAAGACTACATTCCAGAATCCTGCACATGTCAGAATCGCCGTATAAGGTGTGTGGCCATTGACGATGTGGACCTGGATAGTTTGTTTAGCTATATTGCTGATGGCATACCGTACGGCACCCGGGAGTACGAGTCGTTTGAATTGGAGAGCAGTTATATAACAACATTAGGCACGTCTGCATTTCACGGCCTTTTGTTCAAGCAGTTTATATTTACGAGTTGCTCCAAACTGACCTGTATCAGTCCAACGGCATTTATGGGTCAAAAGTCGACCACCATATTTATGGCTGAAAATACGCCATTTTCGTGAGTAACTTAATATTCGGTAATATAGCCAATAATTGGCACACTATATGCGCAAAATGAACAATTATTTTGCGCAGCAAGCTGAATACATAACCTAATCAATATTTTAAATAGTACCACACAGTGTTTATTACTTTATTTACCGACAATTAAAGCATTTTTACAAATAACTTATTTCTACAGTACATTAAACATTATTTCATTTTATATATGAAAAGGTCCCCGGTGACCGCCACGTGCGATTTGTTCAGCGCATTGAGTACATTGACAAATGTGAACCAGATCAATATAGTCAACCATAAAATACCACAAATACCGAACAATGCGTTCAACGATAAGATGGGAGTATTGGCGAACCTAAGGACCATTGATTTGCACAGCACGGGCTCATTGGGCACCATAATCAGTGTGGGAAAAAATGCTTTCTCAACACTTTTAAGTATGTACTAGGATATATATTTTAAATATACAGTACACTTTGTTTATATGAAATATAAAGCACTTGCCTTGGTTAGGTAAATTCAAAATAGTACAACTAAATAGTAATTGGGGTGGGGGTAGGGTGGTTGATGGTTCATGAAACATATACTCCCATATACCTTGACAAAATATTATAAAAAAATATAGTAAACCTAATTTAATTATAATAAAGCAAATAAGAAAAATCTTTTATACATTTTAACTATAATTATGCTACTTTGATAAATTATTATTTTAAAAATAATATCCAATCAGATTTGAACATGGTGAACTTATCTAACCAGAAGATTGTGGCCATCGGTGACTCGGCCTTCCAGTTCCCGCGAGCCAATTGGGATCGCATAACAATTAACCTTGAGCATAATAACCTAAACGGTTGTAGGTTTGGGTCGCACGTATTTCCCACGAACAAAGTGACCAAGCTCATGTTGGCCGGCAATATGGACCTGACGTTCTTACCCGACGGCGCTTTCTACGACTTTTTCGAGGAAAGGGGTCACGACAGGAATACGTGCGATATGTTGGGCATCCCGATGGATATTGACCAGCACAATATGTGGCTCGTGGACAATAAAGGGCCCATGAAGCTAGATCAAAAATTATTGAATGCTATGGGAAAGGACGGCATTCCACTCCTAAAGCATACGCACAAACAGATGGATGTGCCGCCGCTAAAGCCGTGTTAAATCACACGATAATATTACATGATTTTGAATGAATTTTGTATAATTTTAAAATTTAATATTTTTTGTTTTATGTATTGTAATGAACATTTAAATTATATCTAAAAAAGTATCAAGCAATATTTGTTTTGAATGTATTTTTAAAATAAAGCAAATGTGTATTTTATATGAATGATGTCACAATACAAAATACAATAATTAATATTAAATGAAAAATAAATTAAGAATATTCAAAATTATTTAACAGTAAAATGATCTTTATAAATTAACCTTTATTTCTAAACTATAATATTTAACATTATGAGATAGGCTTTCTGTAAGAAAAAATGAATAATATCTCTGAATACATAAACTTAAGTCACCTATCACATATTCATAAGATTAATACACTTGCCTCAAGTTTATAATAAAATATAATTAATTAGTGTGCGTAATATTTTTATCTATTTATATCAATCAATAAATTGATAAATTAATAAATTAAAAATTATTTGGTGAAATGCATTAATAAATTTGATAAGTACCCGGAATAATTAAATACATATTAGATGTTCAGTTAATGTTTATACCTATATAAATAAAGATTTTGAATTGGAGATATTTTATTAATGTTACAAATATTTATAGTTTTATACATTAATAACAAAATATGAATATTACAGCAGGTATTTAAAATAAAATTTTAACTTTGTCATATTATTAATGTCAAAAATAAAATCATTAAACTTATACGGTATTTCAAATTTATTATATTAACTCCAATTTTATAGGGAATCTATAAATGGATTTACCTATAAAATAAATAAATATATATTTTTTCTAGAAATACTATTGTCAGTGTTAAATTTATTTTTTATATTATATTTTAATTTTCGACTTTATTTTAAAATACTTATTATATTTTTTTTGTTATTTACAGACCTGGAGCTAATCGACCTGTCCAATCAAGACATTACCAAAATACTTGACTATACATTTGAATTTCCCTAATCCAGTCCAGACACCTCGATAACAATTAACCTGGAGCACAATTGCTTATACAGCTACTCATTTGGCAAGGACGTGTTTCTATCCAACAAGGCTACCCAGCTTAAATTGGGCGGTAATCCCTATATACACGCCTTACCCGAGACGGGGTTTCACGAGTTTTTCGGTGAGAAAAGTCACGCAAACAATACGTGCGATGTTTTGGGCGATATGTTAGCCATTGATGTGAGAAACCAGTGGTTAGTTCGCTATAAAGTAAAGTTAGCCCTAAATAGGAAGCTATTGTATGCCATAGAAATGGACGGCAAGCCTCTGTTGAATCATACGGAACAGGAGATGAGTGGCGACCCGCCTATTACCGAGGCTCCCGGTGCTGTTAAAGTATATGATTTTTAATTGTAATGCAATTGTACAAGGCTCTACGATAGCCGGCGTTTTCTGTACTGCATCACACGATCATTAGATAAGTCTTAATCTTGTGATTTTAGATTTTTGACATGTAAATTCAATAAATACGTTTTAATAAAAATTTAAATAGATAGCACTATTTTATCCCCAATTATTGTATAAATACCCAATAAGTATTAAACAAAAACGATAAGACCTGTTTTTTATTAAATTCTGATTTTAATCTTTATAATCATTAAAAAATGTTAATAAAATTTTAAATATTTGGCAATATTTTATCATCAATTATTGTATGAAGCTATTCAATAAATAGGTTCGTATCAAAGTATTTTTGAATTACAAATTTAGATAATAAATCAAGAGTATTCATTTCAAAATTTTTGGTTATTCTATCTCCAAAATCCTAATATACACCGGGATGATATTTCGACTAATTTAATAGAAAGAGTTATAGTACTTCAATTGTCAAGAGCTGAGGCGGAACGCGGATGTGTAATGTTTTTTAAATTTTTAACTTTAAAATATATAAATTAGTTTTATCTTTAGATTTCGAATGCTTTACACAAATGCCTAACTTTTGAACCCAATTGATATGCACTTCTGGTAATAAACAAGTGCTGCCTTCTGTTAATAATCGGTTGCCTTGCGGTCAGAGATTGTAATTCTCTCCCAAACCTAATCACTATTTAGTGATTAAATTAAGACTTTCAGGCCTTTCCGAGGCAACCCCTCCTGTCCTACAACAGGCAAGGTTTAGGCCCATTCGGGGCAACCACTCCTCGGGCTGTCAGAATAATCTGTCAACCGAGGCATGGCTTAAAGAAATCACAAGGAAATCAATTAAACTGTTTATTTCAAAGAGTAAGGAAAGACTGAATAGAAAATGCTATCCACATGAAAAGGAAAACTATTTCAATACAAAATAATAATAATAGTTTAAACTTTAAGCCTATTAGTTTTGATTCATATTCAAATTGAGAAATAATAAGTAATTATTAATAATAAATTATTGAAAACTTAAGGAAAACTAATAGTAATTATAATTTGACTAATAATCAAAGTAAGAAAAATGTGACAAAAATGAGTTTATCATATATAAAAACTAAACATCGAGCAAGTATGCATGGTTCTACTCTGGATCATCAGCTTAGACTTAGAATAACAGGGCAAAATATGTTTCAGAAATTCCTGAATATGATCTTAGCGAAGAATGGCTCAAAACCCATGATATTCCTAAAGGTATAATTATTTTTCTTATATAAGTACGGTATTTAATATATTATTTTTCTATTAGAATCCCCCAAGAAAGTTCAACGTACCAATTAAAATGTAAAATTCAATAAATTTAATATTCTTTTTATTAATTTTACCCTTAACAAGTGTGTATCAAGTCTTAAAAGTATGGATTAGGTCACGATAAAGTATACAGATCACTTATTATTTTTAATATTAAAATTTAACGTGGAATATTTTGCAAAAATTGATAATGGCTTTTGTTATAATTAATAAGATTTTTGATAATTGATATAAATATTATTATTGAAATTATATTTAATAATTTAGATAAGTTTAAATTAAATATAATTCATATAAATGAACGCTTCCAGTAACTCGAAATTAATTTAAACATATTATATATTTATGATTTTTATTTTTAAATAAAAAATAATAACCATTTCAAATTACGCAAAAATTAATATTCATTATTTATTAAGTTAATTGTTATCAATTGATAATTAACCACTCTCACATTGAAATGCGTAAATGGCTATGATAGTAAGTACCCAGAATTGTTAAGCAATCATATGATTACTTATTTATTAGATGTTACATATTTTTAACTTGACCTTGTCTAAACTTACCTATATAACAATTTTCTCTTACTATGATTATTATAAATTTATTGTTTTATTTAATGGTAACCACTTATTACTAAAAATATGAAAACTAATATAGGTATTAAAATTAATTATTGATAACAAAATTACTTTTAAACCCTTTTACAACACAATAGCAAATCCTACATAAGTATAAATTTATAATCAATTTTAATTATATTGCTACAGTTATACTTCTGTCGATCGTGACCCTGGTCAATGGGTGTAAAGAGTATTGCAACGACATAATAAAAGACGACATTGCACCTTGCACCTGTCGGGATGGACGTATAAGGTGTGTGACCATTGACGATGTGAACCTGGATAGTGTGTTCAAGTATATAGCCGATGACATACCGTACGGCACCCGGGAGTACGAGTCTTTTGAATTGGAGAGCAGTTATATAACAACATTAGACACGACTGTATTTCACGGCCTTTTGTTCAAGCAGTTTATATTTACGAGTTGCTCCAAACTGACCTGTATCAGTCCAACGGCATTTATAGGTCAAGAGTCGACCACCATATTTACGGCTGAAAATACGCCATTTTCGTGAGTAACTTAATTAAATACAAAAGGATACAATTTGAATCAGGGCCCTTATAGTAATAAATACTATAATTGATGAAATTAATTAAAAATTTTTGTTTTATTTAGAATTTAATATTGTTGACAATATAACTTGAATAAAACGTAATAAAAAAGTTTATAATACAGAGTAAATAACTAATAGGCAAATAGGGTAAATAGGCAAAAACAATTCGCAATTAATTTTTAAAAATCCTTAAATATTAGTCTCTATATTTTATATGTATTCTGTTTATTACTGTATTATAGTGTTTATTATCCACCTTTATTAATGTAATATTCGGTAATATAGCCAATAATTGGCACACTATATGCCGAAAATGGACAATTATTTTGCGCAGCAAGCTCAATACATAACCTAATCAGTATTTTAAATAGTACCACACAGTGTTTATTACTTTATTTACCGACAATTAAAGCATTTTTACAAATAACTTATTTCTACAGTACATTAAACATTATTTCATTTTATATATGAAAAGGTCCCCGGTGACCGCCACGTGCGATTTGTTCAGCGCATTGAGTACATTGACAAATGTGACCCAGATTAATATAGTCAACCATCGAATACCACAAATACCGGACAATGCGTTCAACGATAATATGGGAGTATTGGAGAACCTACGGACCATTGATTTGCACGGCACAGGCTCATTGGGCACCATAATCAATGTGGGCAAAAATGCTTTCTCAACACTTAAAAGTATGTACTAGAATATACATATTTTAAATATACAGTACACTTTGTTCATATGAAATATAAAGCACTTGCCTTGGTTAGGTACATTCAAAATAGTACAACTAAATAGTAATTGGGGTGGGGGTAGGTTGAAGGTTCATGAAACATATACTCCCATATACCTTGACAAAATATTATAAAAAAATATAGTAAACCTAATTTAATTATAATAAAGCAAATAAGAAAATTCTTTTATACATTTTAACTATAATTATGCTACTTTAATAAATTATTATTTAAAAAATAATATCCAATCAGATTTGAACATGGTCAACTTATCTAACCAGAAGATTGTAGCCATCAATGACTCGGCCTTTCAGTTCCCCCAAGCCAATTGGGATCACATAACAATTAACCTCGAGCATAATAGACTAAACGATAGTAGTTTTGGGTCGCACGTATTCCCCACGAATAAAGTGACCACGCTCATGTTGGCCGGCAATATGGACCTGACGTACTTACCTGAAGGTGTTTATATGTGGCTCGTGGACAATAAAGTGACCATGAAGCTAAATCAAAAATTATTGAATGCTATGGGAAAGGACGGCAATGCACTCCTAAACCATACGCACAGACAGACGGATGTGGCGCCGCCCGCGGCTAACGCGGTGTACAATCACACGATAATATTACATGATTTTGAATGAATTTTGTATAATTTTAAAATTTAATATTTTTTGTTTTATGTATTGTAATGAACATTTAAATTATATCTAAAAAAGTATCAAGCAATATTTGTTTTGAATGTATTTTTAAAATAAAGCAAATGTGTATTTTATATAAACACTAGCCTGGAGCTTTAATGATGATTACAATTGTACAAAAATAATCAAAGATATTGACAAATGTTCATGCAAAAATCGAGTACTAAAGTGTATGGATGTTGACGAAATCGACCTGGATGAAGTATTTGCATTATTAGCTGAAGGTTTTCCTTATGGGTCCCAACAATACGAGTCATTTGAATTGACCAGCAACTATGTAACAAAATTAGATCCGGCACAATTTCATGGTATTCGGTTCAAGGAGGTTAAGTTTATAAATTGCACAAAATTGACCTGTGTCAGTCCACTTGCATTTGAGGGACTAAATTTAAGACGATTTACGAGCGAATTAACTAATTTCAAGTAAGCATGATACTGTGTTTAGTTTATGTAATAATAATAATTCACAGTAAAGTTACTATAATACGAGTAATTATATTTAATCTTGAAAGTAAGTTATTTATTATACAATGCGCACATTTCATGTAGGTAGTCATTAATTTTTTATCATAAATATTAACCATATTCGATTAAATTATTTTTAAATAATAATATTATTGCCAGTTTGATTATATTTATTAAATGCACCTAGGGCCTACAATGAGACATGCGATTTATTCGGTGCTTTGAGTACATTGATAAATGTTGAGGAGATTATGATAACCGGCAGTGAAATAACAGTCATTCCCGATAATGCCTTCAATGATAGGATGAGAGTGTTAGACAGTCTCAGAGCTATTGACTTCGGGGGCTCTCAAACACCCGGACATATTGGATGGGTAGGCAAAAATGTCTTCTCAACACTTAGAAGTATGCATAATTATAAACAATAATATAATAATTACTTTATCTAATTTTGCTTTATATTTGCAAATAGATTTGAACAAGGTAGACTTATCTAATCAGATGATAACCGAGATCGGGGACCAGGCGTTCCAGTTTCCACGAGCCCAATGGGATTACATAATAATTAACCTGGATCATAATCAACTTATAGGGCAAGGGTTTGGCTCTCACGTATTTCCCATAAACAAAGTGACCATGCTAATGTTGAGGTACAATGGAAAATTGCATTATTTACCGGAAAAGGCTTTCCGCAACTTTTTTGAGCAAACGGGTCATGACATAAGTACGTGCGATGTGTTGGATGATAAAATGGACCTAGATAGAAATAATTTATGGCTTGTGGACGATTCAGATAAGTTAAATTTGAGGAAAAAATTATTGCATTTTATGTGGCAGAACGGTAGGGAACTCCTAAATCATACACACGATGAGATTGATAAAGACCTTCCGCTAGACTATGTTTTACGCAGCAATACTGTAATATCATAATATAATTTTCTATAATTAATTAAATATTTATCGTCGTCGTTAAAAAAATTATAAATTTTTAATAAATTACAATTTGTATTTAGAAAAATATTCAATAATAAAATAAATTAAAAGAGGTACAAAATTTTATTTAAAAAATTTGTTATTTTTAAAAAGATATTAATACTGGATATTGATATAGGATTAATTAATAAGAAATATTTATAGATATTGAAATAATATTCTATAATGTGTATCTAATAATATATTAAATAGATTGTGAATATTAGGCAAACGTATTTCAAAGTAATGTTACAAAACAATTGGTGATAACAATTAAAAATATTCCGAGAATTGTATTGCATTTTCTAATTGAATAGATAATACTGTAAATTAAACATGTGTTTACTATACAGTACAAAGAAATTGTCTATATATATGCAAATATTTTGCATAAATTTTTATTTGTATATTTTGTATATTAAGAATTATTAATTTAAAAGTACATCAAAATATAAAATAAAATATGTTAGTTATAATTTATGCAATAGGTAAGTCAATAGAAATTATATTTTGTTGGTAAAAATATAGTAGAAAGCATATTATTTATAATATTACTTAATTATAGCGTTATTTTGGTCATCTACCAGTGCCAGTGACTACTGTCCAGACCCTGCTGACATATTACCATGCACATGCTACAACAACCACATTAAATGTGTAGCAACAACTGAAGAACTGGACCTTGATAGCTTTTTCGATGTATTAGCTCACGTAACCAATGACACCTTATATTATAAATCATTTGAATTGGTAGACACTGCCATAACCTACCTGCCCCCAGCGGCATTTCACGGTGTACAATTTGGTGAACTAAAATTTACCGGCTGTTCAAAACTGCAATGCGTTGATCCCCGTGCTTTCGAGGGGCTGGTATATAATACAACCAGGTTTATGGTTGAGGTCAGCGATTTTAGGTAAACTAAATAATATTATTTTTATAAATATACCCTGAAACATTTTTTAATTTTTAATTCTATAACTAATCTAATAGTAATTAATAGCTGTTTGTCTACTATAGAGGTGTCGACCCTCCCAACTCTACCTGTAATCTGTTTGCAGCGTTGAGTACATTAACAAATGTGGAGACTATTAATATAGTCGGCAGTGAACTGACAGTTATTCCCGATAATGCCTTTAATCACAATACCGGTGCTCTCACTAAGCTTAAGACTATTGACTTTGGGGGACGACAGACAAAGGGAAAAATATATAAACTAGGCAAAAGAGCCTTTTCTACTCTAAAAAGTTAGTACCATTTAATTATTTACAGCTACCATACAGTTTTATTATACTATTTATATATAACATTTAATACATACAGGTATGTTTTAGAATCTAAAATTAGTTTTAAAATAAAAATAAATTTTTTAAATGATAATTCAGGACTCATATAATTGCATACATAATAAATTGTAATCAATCAATCAAATATCCAATTAATATATGAAGTAATATTTTATTCATACAATTTATTTAACTAAATTTAACATTAAAGTTTGTCACAATTAAAATAGTTTTCTTAAACAGACTATTAAATAAATTATTATTAACTCACAGGGTTATACTACCATAAACAATTTATTTTTTATATTATAATATAATATTAACATATTATGTTAATTTTCAACTTTATCCTAAAATACTTATATTTTTTGTAATTTACAGACCTGGAGCTAATCGACCTGTCCCATCAAGACATTAACAAAATACTTGACTATTCATTTGAATTTCCCGATTCCAGCCCAAACACCTCGATGACAATTAACCTGGAGTCCAATTTCCTATACAGTTACTCATTTGGCAAGGACGTGTTTCTATCTAATAAGTTTACCCAGCTTAAATTTGGTGGTAATCCCTATTTACACGCCTTACCCGAGACGGGGTTTCACGAGTTTTTTGGTGAGAAAAGTCACGCAAACAATACGTGCGATCTTATCGGCGATTTGTTAGCCATTGATGTGAGAAACCAGTGGTTAGTTCGCTATAAAGTAAAGTTAGGCCTAAATAGGAAGCTATTGTTTGCCGTGGGAATGGACGGCAAGAATCTGTTGAATCATACGGAACAGGAGATGAGTGGCAACCCGCCTATTACCGAGGCTCCCGGTTCTGTTCAAGTATATGATGTTTAATTGTAATCCAATTGTATGTATTTTACAAACTCAATGTTTGTTAAAATTTTAATCATTATTTGTGTAACAGTGTTTAGTATAGCAGTTGGTTATATAAATTTTAATTACTGTAATGTTATACTATGTATTAAAATATCTTGATAAGTACAGATAGTGAGTGAAATGCATAATAATGAATACAATATTTCAATCCAAATATTTTTATTTTAAAAACTAAATATAATTTTAATAAATATTTTATGATAACAATACAAATAATTAGAAAAAATAATTTAGAAATATGTTTCTAACATCTATTAGTAATATGAGTATGGTTTTATTATTAAAAATAAAAATACAATTTCATGATAATGAATTTCACTATTTGATAAATGATAAAGCACATTTTATCATTATTAATGTCAATGTCATTAATATAAAAGCTTAAAATATCCGGATATTGAATGAAGATATTAATCTTGTATATAAATATTGTATTAAAATACTAGTAATAAAAATTAGGTCAACAACTTAAGTGTTTTTTGTCACTTGTTAATTGACATTGATATTTAATTTATAATAGATAAATCCAAGTTTTAATAATTGTCATAGTTAATCTTAGCAATTTACTTAATATAAATTATATTCTTATTAAAAAAATATAATAATTAAAATGTTTAATATCATATCTAGAATATTAATTTAATTTATTGAATTAAAAAGATATACAGAATATTTTTAATACATTTTTTTGCTGACAATTGCTACTTTAGTAACCCTAAAATAATGACCTACATAGATTTTCAGTTACAAAGTATATTATAGATAAAATAGCTAAACAAAATATTGATTAGTAAACAATTTGCCTACCTAAGCCGTAATATGATCAAGGTTGACACTAAAGATATAATATTTTTAAAAGCACATATAAAATAATTATGTTAAAGGTAACCCGCATTTCACTTTTATTTTTGTGTTAGAATTGTTCAAACATGGGATTTAGACTAGGTAACTTATAAACTAAAATAACTTTATTCTAATAAAAAAATTAATTTCAAAAATTAAATTTATTTTACAGCACTTATACTAACAGTCATAGCGCTGACCAATGCGTGTGACTACTGCCCTAACCCTGATGACTTTGCACCATGTACATGTAATAACGATATTATCAAATGCGTGGACACTACCGGTGAATTAGACCTGGATGACAGGTTTTCACAGTTAGCACAGGGTGCCCCGTATGGGTCCAGATACTACACGGCTTTTCAGCTGGAAAGTAGCGAAATCACCAGGCTACCAGCTTCCGTATTTCATGGCATTCAATTTGGGGAACTCCGGTTCATAGGGTGCCCTAAACTGGAGTGTGTGGATCCAATGGCTTTCGCGGGACTGGGACCCAGGATTAATAGGTTTACCGCCGAGTTAACCAATTTTAGGTATGATCTGGATTAAATAATTTTGGTCACTTATATGCAGCCTAAAAATAATTTATTTAGAAATTTGTGTCAAGTTTTAAATGTATCTTTATTTATGTTTGTAATGTAGTTTTAATTTAATAATTAGCTCATTGAGTTTATTTTGTTTAATTATACTATTTTAATTATCGTAAACTTAAAACACATTTCAAATTTGTTAATTATTTTGCATTTTAATGTGAATTTACTGCATATTATTTTTTACCAAATATGTACCTAATGATTTATTAATTATTTTATAAAAGCACCCCGGTCAACTCAACGTGTGACCTGTTTTCGGCGTTGAGTACATTGACAAACGTGGAGACCATTAGTATAACCGGCAGTGAAATCATCACAATTCCCGAAAATGCCTTCAATGATAGGATGGGAGTACTCGTGAACTTACATACCGTGGACTTCGGGGGCAGACAGACTAAGGGCAAGATCGGAACAGTTGGCAAAAATGCCTTCTCAACACTCACTAGTAAGTCATTTATTTACCTTACTATTTCACCTTGTTAGTTGATAATGATTAAGCATGTAAAGTATGTGTGATAGGTTGTTAAATAAAGTTTTTATATGACTTTAATTTTTTATAACAAACTGTTCACAAAATAGTTTAAATTGTTTTAGTATAAGTGCTTGTTACATTTATTACAACTGGGTTAATGTCGAATTGGCGTATTATGTATTTATTTTATAAAACTTAAAGCAACTTTAAAAACAATCACTTTATATAATAGATTATAATAATTTTAACTTTTATGATACATAGACTTAATGAGTTACAAATTATTAAATTATTTATTAATATAAGTCGCTTATCTATTGGCTTACATTAATTACTATTGTACAGATGTGTCCAGGTGGGTAAGAGTGAGCATTATTACAGTACTTGTAATGATTTTATTAAAAACTAATCACAAATACCATAACACATGTATGAGTAGGGATTACTAATTGCTTATAATGAAAGGGAT